CAAGCCTCGCATCAGGCTCTCAGCTTCTTCCTCGGATCCCTCACCCTGTAGTGCTTTCTCTCTGTCTCTCTCTCAAATAAATAAATATTTTTTAAAAAAATTTTATTAAGCAGAAAAAACTATAAATAAATAATTAATTTAATGGCATTGTGATAAAAATGTAATCTAGATAAGACTGATTCTTCATATTTGTGGAGACTTGCTTAATGATGGATGTGTGTGTGAAAAGAATTAGTCTCTTTGTAAGGGGTAAACAGAGTTTTATATATATCTATTCAATCAAATTTGATAACTGCATTGTTCATATCTTCTATGAGTATCTCCTATATTTTTATACCTGATCCATCATTTATTGACCTCTTTGTCTAACAACACTTGTTTATATGTTTTCATGCTTTATGAGGTTCACTCATGGTTTGAATTACTACATGTTCTTGTTATTATAAAGTGATCTCATTCTACCCCCATAATGTTTACTAATAAATGAATATATACATACAGGTTTTATTTTGGTACTTACCTGATTTTTATTCTTCCATTCTTTTAGTTTTTATTTACTAATTGTAGTGTTCTAAATATGTCTTTTGTCTATAGAGTGTACTTCTACATTTTGGTTTTTTTTTTATCTTTTTTTTTAAGATTTTATTTATTTATTCATAGAGATGCAGAGAGAGAGAGAGAGGCAGAGACAAAGGCAGAGGGAGAAGCAGGCTCCACACAGAGAGCCTGACATGGGACTCGATCCAAGGTCTCCAGGATCAGGCCCCGGGCTGCAGGCGGCACTAAACCGCTGCGCCACCAAAGCTGCCCCATTTTGTTTTGTTTTTTTTTTTTTCTTCATTTTGGTTTTTTTAATGTAATCCAACAACCTCCGATTCTTGAGTGAGGAAGAGTTAATCTATTATATTTACTCCATTTACTGTATATTTTGATTTATTTCTACCACTTCATTTGAACTTTCTATTTTCCCTGCCTTTTCTTCCTCTTCTTTTTGTTTTATTGGATTAGATACATTTTCTTTACTCGTTTTCCTCCCCTCTCCTGGTCTAGAAGTTAAATATTCAATTTCTACTTATTTACTGGTTATCCCTAAATTTAGAAATACATATTGGATTTAACAAAATGTAAAACTAACTTCCTTGTCAAAAAATACAAAGATATTTAATATTTTAATTCTGACTTCCTTTTCCATGACTTCTATATTATTATAATCTAGAATTTTGGTTTCACCTTGTTTTCTGCTGCCAAGTTAGTTAGTATAAATATAATTTTTATGTAATACTTGATGCAATACTTGTTTAGATTTATGCACTTGTTTACCAACTTCTTGCTCACACTTCATTCTTGTATTTCACTCCTAGCTTTAGAACTTCAATGTCACTCCACCTTAACAACATCACTATTGTCAGAGAGTTAATTTAATTATTGATATAGCCTTCCATTTTTTTTGTCTGTCTGAAAAATGTATTTATTCTGCATTAATATTGGCCTGGTAGTTTAGCTGAACTAAGAATTTTTGGTGGAGAGTTATTTTCTCTTAGTACTTTAAAATGTTCTCTTTTCTTCTGACATCTATTATTTGCAATTGAAAATTCTCTGTTCTATAGATGATTCACCTATTGCTTAGAGATTTTTAAGATCTTCTTATCTTTACTATTTCACAGTAATATCTGATTAGCTGTGGGTTTGACTAGTTTTGCCTATTGCATCTAGACTATTGCTTTACTCCCATTCTTTCCATTCTCTCATATATATGCACATCTTCCATATACACATGCGCATGTATGTATATACACATATATGTGTGTGTTTCACTTTATCATTATGTCCTCCATATGTTTTACTATCTCTCTACTATTTTCTCTTTATAGTTCTCTGATGAATTATGGTAAAGTTCCTAAAATCCACCTTCTAGTTCCTAATTCTCACTTAAGCTAGGTCTAGTCAACTATTTGTCTAATTCACCAAGCTATTATCTACAACTATTTTTCATCTTAAAATCTCCTTTTGAATCTTTTTTCCAATTTGCCTGGTCACCTTTTTTTTAAAGATTTATTTATTTATCTAGTTTAGAGGGGGGAGAGCGGAGGGAAAGGGAGAGGAAAGAAGCAGACTTTCTGCTGAGCAGAGAGCCCAACACAGGGGCTGGACCTCATGACCCTGAGATCATGACCTGAGCCAAAAATCAAGAGTCAGAGGCTTAACCCACTGAGCCCCCCAGATACCTTTGCCTGGTCACTTTTTATGTTACCTTGTTCTTTTCTCATGTTTTGTTTCTTTATTTATGTTTTTAATATTTTACACATACTTCTCCTATAGTCTCTATCAGAGTATTCAATTTTATGCCATTCTGTAGGTCTAATCCTGATGAATGTTGTGTCTATTGAGCTCCACTAAGGGTGATTTGCTCCCACGTGTGTTTTCTATTTTTGGACTGTGAGATGGTCTTACACAGCACTTTGTGTCTTCTGTGGGACTATGTTGAGTCTGTTTTACTCCAAAGTGATTTTACTATTGACCTTCCAGAGTTACATCCAACCAGGGACCCATTTTTACATTAATCACTCCCCTTATTACGATTCTCTATTCATTGGATTTTGTTTTGCTCTTAGAAGAATGATCAAAGACCCAAAATAACCTCTAAAGAACAGTACCACCTGACTGCCATCTACTTCCTGAGCATTATCTCCCACCCATTCCACCACTTATTCCACTCCAGCCATACTGGCTTCTGTGCTTTTCTAGAATGGACCAAACTGTCTCTCATCACAAGGTCTTTGTACATGCTGTTTATTCTACTGAGGGTCCTCTTTCTTCCCTTCTTATTTTAGCTAACTTCTACTATCTAATATCTCAGTTGAATAATTACTCCCTTAAGAAAGACTTCCCTGACCTCCCAACTACCCTGACCAAAGAACAAGGAAAATCTATCTATCATAGATTCTGAGAGCATCAAATACCTCTCCTTTATGGATCTAATCATGATTTATATGTGCACATGTATTTATTAATGAGATCGCTTGGTAAATACCTGCCTTTCTCACTAGACTGCCTCAATGGATCTGAGACCATTTCTATTTTTTTTCACCATGATATTGCCAATTCCAGCACAGGGCCTAGCATATAATAGGTGCTTGTTAAAAATTTGCTAAATGAATGAGTAAATAAAGAAATGAACAAGTTGGGCAGCCGGGGTGGCTCAGTGGTTTAGCGCTGCCTTCAGCCCAGGGTGTGGTCCTGGAGACCTGGGATCGAGTCCCACGTCAGGCTCCCTGTATGGAATGGAGCCTGATTCTCCCTCTGCTTCTCTCTCTCTCTCTCTCTCTCTCTCTCTGTCCCTCATGAATTAATAAATTAAATCTTTAAAAAATAAAATAAAATAAATGAACAAGTCAATTTACAGAGGATCGATTTCCCTAGGAATCATCTCTCTCCTCTTAAGCACTGGTCTTTGTTTCTTATACCATGACTAGTGGGGATCCTGGGTTCTTTTCTCATGTTGTTGACATTGAAAATGTTTATGAAGCATGACAGCATCATCCAAGATGATGACTACCCATTCAAGTTCCTGACACCTAGCAGAAGGATTGACTTTACTATATTTCTAGTGATTCTTGGCCTATCCAGCACAATATAGGCTTCTGGGTTTATTATTTTACCATTTCAGCCCATCTTCATGAAAGTGATTCCCTTGTCCTATATCAATCACAGCAAGATTTTATAAAATCTTCAAAGGCATGAGTTTTGCACCACTACACTTAGACAATTCACAAAACCTATATAAAGCCCTTCTCCAGTTGGCGTATACAAATTGTACAACTTGGCCGTCTTAATCTTATCTACAGAGACAAAGGAACACACATATAGATGTCCTTCGGAGGGGAAATTCTCTTTGCCACTTGAACCAGGTGCTCATTGACCCCTTGATTCTGTCAAGGTCTCATGGCCTAGATCTTATTTCTGTCCTCTAAAGATCACCTGCTACGTATCTACCTAAGTAACAGTTAAGGCTCATTCCAGCTACAAATAAGGCCATATTTATGTATGTGCACTAGTTCACTGTGCATATGTGATAAAGGCCTACATCTCTGTGAAGTATTCAAATCATGGTCAACTCTCTCTGAATGACATTTTTAAGACCTATTTAATATCTTCTGTAAGAACAGAAGGAGCCCATAAAAAGCACCCAGTTTGTCCTTACAAGTTCAGAGCACAATGAGTGACACGTGTACCTATAATTGATTCTCTGGCTCCCCAGGCTGGCTCCTCTTTATTTGCCAAGACTCCTGTTTCCTCTCCATCTTGCCTTATTTCCCCAACATCTTCCACTCCTTCACATTCCTTGTTCATCTCCCTCTCTAGCAAACAACTCATTTCAGAATTATTTTTGCTGATGTCTACATGGCACTTTCCTGACTCATTCTGAATGTCAGAGCTTTGAGTAGCCACTGGGACCACCTCACCACACCACTCCTTTTGTAGATGTCGGCTCTGCCTTCAACACAGACCAGGATCCAATCACTTCCCATCTCACTGCCTGTGCCAGCACCCTGGCCTCATCCCTCATCAGCTCTCACTAGGGTCACCGCAGTCCCCCCTAACCAGACTCCCTACTTCTGCTCCTACTGCCTTACTATGTCTGTCTGTGGACAACACAACAAAGACTGGCATCTTTTCCAAAGACGTGTCCCACTTGTCACTCTTGACAGTATAGGGTACTTCCTGGGCCTTTAGAGTGCCGTTGGGCTGGGGCTGCGGGCACACACAGGCTTTTCTATTCTAGCCCAAAGAGCAATGAATTTCACAACAGTGCTTTCCTCCAAAGCCTAGGCTGTGTTTAGAATACCAAAGTTGAGAAAATTATGATCTAGTCACCATTCTAAGTTAAGACCAAAGTTAATCTCATATATTTACCCTTTCTTTAGGAAAAATATCAAGCTCCGTGGGAGCTTCCCCTCTCAACTGAATTTTGGACTCCCCTTCTACCTGTTCCTAGAAACATGCCCTCCCTCTTTGAGACTATTAGCAAGAACTTGGTCAGAGAGCTTGGAGACAAAGACCTGAGGCCCATGAGATGCCTGTCGAATGCCAACCAATTCCGTCAGCTGGCAATATTACAGAAGAGGAAGAAGCGCTCACCCTTCTGGGAACAACCTGACATTCCAGCCGAATACACCCTCATGGACCTCCTGGAGCCAAGTTCTTCAGTTCCCGGTATTGTCAACAAGGGCAAGGGGGCAAGGAGTAGAAAACACATGTGCTCACAGGCAGTGCAGCATACAAGGATCCCTTAGGCACCCACACAGGTCAACATCAGGGTTGGTTTTGCCAAAAGGCACTGGGCAAGAAACTACAATACTTAAAAATCTAATATCAGGACGCAGGCATTTATTAGTTCATCTAATACTTAGGATAGCTTCTTAAGTCAGGGACATTATCCCCACTGACAGAACTGTGAATTGAAACCAATAAAATAATCTGTTCCAGGTGATACACCCAGGAACTAGTAAAATTAGAATCCAAACTCAGATCTGTCTGGGTCCATAAGCTTAACATTTTCTGCTCCAGGGTGCTGCCTCCTGGGACTAGAGGCTGTGCGTGCTACAGAGGAAAGATGACATTGTGGATTCCCTGTACCAGTGCACACATGATGTCACCACAGCTTAGGGTTTGGGATGCTATCCTCTGTTATCCAACCCCTAGGCTGATTCAAACATTTGCCATCAGCAATAATTTATACTTAATACATTAACTGAGGGGCACCTGGGTGGCTCAGTTTGTTGAGCGTCTAATTCTTGATTTTGGCTCAGGTCATGATCTCAGGATCATGAGACCAAGGCACCCACCACCCCCACCCCCTGCTGGGCTACGTGCTCAGTGAGGAGTCTGCTTAAGGATTCTCTCTCCCTCTGCCCCTACCCTCTACCCCCTCTCTCTCTCAAATAAATACATCTTTAAAGGAAAAAAATAATTAACCATTGATGTGATAGCTTCTCAACTGAGAAATGTAAATGAATTGGAGGGTCAGGGCAACACAGGACTCAGCCATTCGATTTCCATTCAGTTTCCCAACCATTCTGGAGTAAATTCTTGGCTGAACCTAACGTCATCTTTTCTGTCCCCAGAAACTGCTGTCATGGGACCGTTTCTCTTCAGGGACACTGTGGTCCAGCAGGGACAGGTTTCTGCCAACGTGACCACTGGGCTAGAAATGAATGTGTCGGGGAAAGCTACTGTGTTCCATGGATCCTCCCTTCAGGTTCAGGCTGTTACAATCCCACCCCATAACTGGAAAGACCTTCAAAAGAGGTGAGGCCATAGGACAGGAAAGAACTGGTCAATGAGGCCCTTGAACTCTCCTCATGTGCCAAAAGGCACCTCGCCGGCTTTACTGCTAGGCTCGAGAGTACAGAAAATGACATCTCAGACCATATTATTCTTCTTGGGTATTCATTCATTCATTCAACTAATACTTATTAGTTATCTGGTATATATTGATTAAAACAGTAATTACTAGGACGCCTGAGTGGCTCAGCAGTTGGGCATCTGCTTTTGGCTCAGGGTATGATCTGGAGTCCCAGGATCGAATCCCACATCCAGCTCCTTGCTTGGAGCCTGCTTCTCCCTCTGCCTATGTCTCTCTCTCTCTCTCTCTCTCTCTCTCTCTCTGTGTGTGTGTGTGTCTTTCATGAATAAACAAATAAAATCTTAAAAAAAAAACAGTAATTACCCATAACTGTGCTGTCATGTGCTGGGAATAGAATAACGACAAGACCAATAAAAATCTCTACCCCAAGCCACTTATATTCAGTGTGGACAGGCAAAGACCAGGGAGTGAGGAAGCAGGAAATAAAAAATAAATTTAGGGATCCCTGAATGTCTCAGCGGTTTAGTGCCACCTTTGGCCCGGGGCGTGACCCTAGAGTCCCCGGATGGAGTCCCACATCGGGCTCCCTGCATGGAGCCTACTTCTCCCTCTGCCTGTGTCTCTGCCTCTCTCTGTGTCTCTCATGAATGAATAAATAAAATCTTTTAAAAATAATAATAATAAATTTAAAAAGTATTAATTTAGGTGAGACAAAGAATCTGAAACTCTCTGTGCTTAATAAATAAAGTATGCAGCAGTGTCCTGGGATTCCACTTATCTCCATGTATATGGGCACATGGGCAAAGGTAGGTATCAAATGATCCTCTAAGTGCTTAACAGACAACTTCTTAAATCATCTTAAATAGCGTGTTTACAAAGGCGTGTTACATTGTTAGGTAAGCAAGTAGTTAAAATATCACAGTCCTTTTAGAGACTAAAAGTTACTTTCACAAGGTATTGGACAATTTTTGTTTCCCTGGGTTCTTACAAGGCCCTTATTAAAAATGACATTTGCAAAGACTGCTTATGGTGCAAAAGAGTATCTCAGATTCTTATACTGCTCAGAAAGAAACAAAAAAAGAATTCTCAGTATTTCAGTAGGGAAAGAGGCAATTTCTAGGATACATTTTAATTGCTAGCTCTGAGAGAAATAAGTAAGCCTGAGGTCAGACCTTTAAATATGGAGGCATTGAGGGGGAGCAGTTGGCTATTTCTAATAAATGGGATGTGGGCATATAATGTGTTCAGCTGTGAAGGCGCTTGCAGATCATGATAGGAGCTCTGAGATAAGGAATAAACAGGACAAAGAGAAAGAGACACTGCTGGTGGTTGGTTAGGTTTCTCTGTGGCACTAACAGCTGAGCTCAGACCCCAAAGAATGATGGAAGCAAGAAGGAGCAGGAGGAAAGGGGTTCAAATGATGGAAGCAAGAAGGAGCAGGAGGAAAAGGGGTTCAAGGCCCTGGGGCATGGAAGAGCTGGATGATGATTCCAAGGCCGGGGGGGCGGGGGGGGGGTGGCCAGGGAGGCCAAACCTTAGTCAATGAGGACTAAAGTGATTCAAAGCTTAGGAGGTAAGTAGGGGTCAGATGACACACCCCTCGGATGCCTGGTAAGAAGTCTGCATTTGTCTCCAGGGGCAACAGGAAAGCCCCCACTGGATGCTCAGTACTGCCTGCAGTGAAAGGAGAATTTAAGGATCTCTCAGTATTCTGCACGCCAGGGCACCAAGCCCAGCGGGGCCTGGGATAGAATCTGACTTGAGTCTCAGAACTGAAATGGGGATAGACTTTTGTCTTCAGCACTGCAGGCCTTCCGCATCCAACCCACCTACTAAGGACAGTCAGCCCATAAAGCCCACCTGTGCTCATGGAAAATAATCCAGCATCAGCCTTGCCTCAGCATACTCTATCCCCCTGCTCCACAAGGGCACATGGGGGGTGTGAGGCCAGCTTTGACTACAGGGCTTTCTAAGCCCTGTTCTCAATCACCTGGACTCATCTACGTCCAGTCTCTTTCTGCTGAGAGGCCCTAGTTACTAGTGGAAAACTACCCTAACAGGACGAAAACAATTTTGGAAAATGCAGCTACCTTTCATCACACGGGATGCATACTGTCACACCCATACCCCTGTCAGAGAATGGGGGGCCTTCCATTGTGCATATCAGAGATGTTCTGGTGCCCTAAGTAACCTAGCCTGTAAGCTAGTATCTTCCAGATGCACTGTACCCCATCCAGGTTCCTAGAAGAGTAATCTAGAATAACCTAAGAAAGCATCCCTTTTCCGCTATGACCTTTCTCTTCCCACCTACCCCAGGAAAGTGCAAGATCCAGAGCTGCTATTTCTGGTGAAGTGCCGGGACAGACAGGATAATCTCTATGTGGTGACAGACACCGTGGAACTGACCAACACTACTGTGCTTTATGACAACAGAAGTGTGAATGTTTGGGGAAGCTGCTTTCTCCCTTTTGATACTTTCTTCAAGGTACACGGTTGTCCTGAAGTGGGTTGGGAACACAAAGAGCCCGGCCAGCCCGGCCTCACTTCCCAGGGGCTCTGCATCCTATTAGGACCCGTCTTGGGGGGTGCAATGAATGGGTCAGCATTTCCCACTTCTCATGTGCCGAGGAATCCTGACTCCTGACCTGAGAGTATATTCTGATGTGGTCACTTTAGTATTTTAATATATATGAGATTATTCTATATTGATAAAATGAAAAGAAATTTAACTATTTGCAATGATTATATTTGCTTTGGATAAATGATGGATCCTGGATACTCTGAAAGTATGGCTGCTCTACTACATACATGTGCAGCTCTGTGGCTGCAAGAAACAAGGGACCACACAGTACAAAACCTTAGCAGTTCAAAGATCCTAAATACTGTGATACCCTGACTAGAAAGTTTTCTGGATTGAGATTAAATATCTTCGAGCACATCTGATGCACCTAACTTATAATATCCACAATTTTTTAAAAATGGTTTAAACACAAGTTCATCAAATATTTAGTCAACATGAACCATGATTCAGGGACATATAAAGTGTGTATGTGTCATAGTGGACATTTTATACACAATCTATTTTATAGGTAATATGTCCTCACTTAAGAGACTTAGGAACTAAAAAAACAGGACAAAACAAACACTGAGATGTGCACTAACTTTCCCAAGATCTATGAATGAACCCTAGAGGAGGACACGGCACCACCCAGTGGTCAAGAAAGTCTGAAACAAAACTCAACTCCAGCTTGGAGGATTATTTCCATGTTCAGCTGTTTTCCCGCCTGTTCAGATGGGTGGACTGGGTTTTGTGAGGACAGGAGAAGAACACCCTATGGCATTTTGCATAGGGCAACTGCCCAGCTGTGTGTCCGGCTGCCATCCCAGCTGTTCACAGCCAGTGCCAATCTAAGCATGGGCTCTTGGGCTGTGATGCTGTTAAACAGTTTACATATCACCCCCCAGCTCATGGCTGCATCAGAGTTTCCCATGCCATTGGTTTGCACTTGATTCTCTTAGGTAGTATTTGACTCTCCAGGACATTCAAATAATAGGGCTGAATTCTGGGGAAGCTATTTACTCACTAGGTTGCCTGAGAATGAATGGTATTCATGGTTCTGAGATAGGGTTCCTTCATACATAAAATTAAATCCAACACCTACATAAAAGTCCACTATAATACATTTTGACTATCAGGTCTCTAGAATATAGTCATTACTATTCAATATGATGGTTAATTTTATGTTGCCAATGTGACTGCCCCATGGGGTGCCCAGATATTTGTTTCAGTGTTACTCTAGGTGTGTTTGGGAGGGGGTTTCTGAATCAGATTTAAATGGGTGGACCGGTAAAGCAGATTATTTTCCCCAGTCTAAGTGGTCCTCATCCAATCCACTCAAGGTCTGAATAAAACTAAAGGCGGAGAGAGACTTCACTCTCTGCCTGAGTATCTCTCATCTGGGACACTGTTCTTCTGACATCAGACTCAGATTTGCACTATGACAATACACCATGGGCTCTCTCAGTTCTTTAGCCCTTAGATTCAGACTAGAACTATACCGTTAGTTCTCCTGTGCCTGCACATCTTGGGACTTTTCAACTTTTATAATTGCATGAGCAGATCCCTGACAATAAATCCCTTTAGGTAGATAAATATATAGACAGACAGCCTACTGGTTCTGTTTTTCTGGAAAACTCAGACTGATATACTCAGTAAAGTTTATTCAGCTTTTTACTTGATTTTAGGACAGAATGATAACTTCCAAGCTTTCTACATGCCAGATCAGAAACCAAGAGTCTAATTTTTTTAATAGAAAAGTCAAAAGATAAAATCAAATTTTCCCCCAAAAAAGTAAGCAAAAAGAGAGGGAAAGATTAATTTTAAAATTTAGAGAGTTAGTCCAGGAGAGAAATGGAAAACAGAGAAACACAGTAAAATAGGGAAAAGTATCCAGGAAATAATTCAAGAAAGGTAAGACCCGAAGCATATGCTCCTCGTTGGAAGGACCAACAGGAGGCCAGTTTCCCGGGTTCATAGGAATTAACTGCTAAAAGAAAGATCTGGAGTGAGGAGAAGCAGTCTCCCCAACAGTAAACAATGAGTATTAACTTAGATATTGGACATGAACATTTTAGGAGGAGTGGAGGTGGGGCAGAGAGAAGAGTAGGACAATGAAATCCTCATCATCCAAAGGAGAAAATAACTGAATATACTTCATTTTGGGGGGGGGGGATCAAATCACTGCAAAATAATCATGAAAATGAGAAATATAAAGGTAAATACTGAACCAAGAAGGAAAAAGAGCAGAACCTGGAAATCAGGACCAACAGAGGGTGAGATCAGGGGGCTGGTGTGTTCCTTGATTATGAGCTTTCTAGATCTACCTGAGTTTTAAAATCACATGCATATGGGGCATATTGTTTGCTTTCTCTCCCCAGGGTCAAGGCCAGGGAGAGGGTCTAAAAGTGAGAGAGAAGACACTGATTCTGCCACAGGGCACAGTGATGGCCTACAAGAGGAAGCAGCTGGTTTTTAAGGAGAATGGCTGGGGTAAGCAGAGGCTGAAAGAGGCAGATGGGGAGAGGGAATCTGCTTCTCCTCAGAAGAGAAACGAGAGGGAAGGAGCATCAGCATGCTTCCACCCACTGCTCTGCCCATTCATGGAGAAGGCTGAGGACATTTCCCAGCTCTGGGGTCACACACATATCCCACTACCCATGGCCCCCTCCCAGCACAGCCTGGAATGCTGCTATGAGGAGACAGAGTCTCCCATGTGGAAAGGGGCCCAGTGCAGAGGTGACCTTAGCACTGAGCAAAGTGCACCCCAATCCCACCACCTGTATTCATTCAAGGACTCACTCAAGCCACTCTCAGCAGCTTACCTGGGAGACCCCATAACCTGAGGTCAGAGCCCATGAGACACCAGCAGGATCCCAAACAAAACTGCAGACATAATGCCCTAGGAGCAGAATGCAGGGTTTTATCTACACCTCTCCCTCTCTTGCTAGCCCCAGGCCCCCAGCACACACACACTCACACACATGCACATGCACACATATACTCACTCACCCACTACTCTCTACAGTAACCTCACTGCAACATCTTGTCTCAGCACATTTCTTATATGCAGCTATGAAATCACTCAGGAAGAGGGCAGGATTGGGAGCACACAGGTGAGGGAGGAGAGCTCAGGGAATAGGACAAACGGCAACAAACAGACAATCCTACCCAAAGCAAGGAGGACAGAGCCAATTACCTTTACCCTACAGAGCCAGTTGTCCAATCTCAGAGCGCACAGTGATCAACCGACGTGCTTGGTCAAAAGGCAGGCTCCAGGGTCCTCTTCAGAAAATTGAATTCCGAAGATACAGAATCAGGCCCGGGGTTCTGAGTTTTAGCCAGCATCACAGGTGCCTATGACGGGAGGGGTCCCCAGGCCACGCTGAGAAAAGCTGCCATGCCTGGCCTGGACGAGGAAGTCTGGGGCTGCAGGTGCAGGAATATGAAAGAGTCCAACAGGAATAACCTTAGCTCTCCTGGCCTGACTTCTTCCCATCCAGATATTCTCATCTCAGATGACGACAAGGAGAAGACCTTTCCAGAAGGTGAGCTCCAGAGCTGGGCAGGTTCTCTGCCTAGACGCAGACCCTGCTGAAACCTGACCCCCTTTGGATGCTAGGAAGAGCCCTGCATTGGACTCAGCCCCCACAGACCCATAGGGAAACCTTTCCAGCCAGTCTCCTTCACTGCCTCCTACTCTCCCCTGCCTTTGACCTTGGCACAGGCCCCTAGCCACTGAGATAGGGTTGTGGGGGTGCTGCCTGGGTCTCCATATGCCTAGGCACCAAGTCACCTGAAGTAGTGGGAAGAGGTAAGAAATCCAGGGGTGGGGGTAGGAAGAGGAGGGAGAGCCGTGGGGTTAGGGCAGGGGGAGAGGAGAGTAAACCTTTGTGAGTAAACACTTCTCTTTCTTTCCAGAGAAACTGCGCTACCAGTCGAAATCACTTCCAAGTGAGTGGGTGATTTTTGAGCCAGGACGGTGGGACTGGATCCTCCATGACGCCACCTTGCACAAAAGCCCCCACGTGATTGCCTCTGCTGCCCTTACCTAAGGCGGGAGGATCTGGCCTCTGGGCAAAGGGCAGGAGTAGAAGGAAAGGAGGGGGTCAGGGAAGTCGGGACAGAAGGTCAGAGAAACCAAATGGCTTCAGAAGTTAACTGTTGGATGGGGAATGTAATTTCTCTTTCAGGCACCATCAACAGTGGTTTCATCCGCCTAAGAGGTGAATATGTGTTTGCTGGAGGTAAGGATAAGGATCCCATCCTGCACTCATCTGGTGACCAGGGCAGATTGCCCTGGGCCTTTGCCCCCACTGCCCCCAGGGCCTGGTCCTAGTTTTTATGGAATAGGAAAGGTCCAGGAAGGCCAAGGGGGTGGAAGGATTGACCCAGGTTGGGGCAGGAAGTTTAACAAGAGGAAGTGGTAAGAGGACAGAACCCTCCAAAGTGTCTGAAAAGCATATTTGAGCATGAGAAAAGAAATGATCACTTGTGATTCTCTTTCCAGGAAGAACACAGGAACCTTTTAGGCAAGGTGAGTGCTTATTAAGAGGGAATTAAGAGGCCTCTGGGATAGGAAACTGCAAACCTGAGAACCCAAATTGGAGTTTCCGTGCAACTCAGAAAACTGAGCTCTACGTCCAGATATACGCTTTGGTCAGCTCCACTTATTCGTTCTTTTATTCATCTGTGCACGCCTGCAACAAACATTTACTAAGAACTTACTGGGCGAGGAACCTGGGAGGCCCAGTGGTTGAGCATCTGCCTTTGGCTCAGGTCGTGATCCCAGGGTCTTGGGATCAAGTCTCGTATCAGGAGATACGGGGGGGATTTGCAGGGAACCTGCTTTTCCCTCTGCCTATGTCTCTGCCTCACTCTGTCTCTCATGAATAAACAAATAAAATCTTAAAAAAAAAAAAAGAGCTGGGCAACAGGCATTATTCTGAGCAACCGGGATACAGCAGGTGAACCAAACAGAAATGCTTGTTGTCACTGCAGCCTCCATTCTGGTGACCCCTCACTTAGCAGATCATCTTGAGGTCACCTGACATCTGCTAGGAGAAGCAGAGAGCCCCTGAATCCATTCCTTGCTTAATTTCTGTATGGACATAGACAATACAGGGAGAATTACATGATAAGGGTAGCTCACGTGTACCCAGAACTACCCCAAGCATTTTATATACATAAACTCAACTGAATCCTCTTAACATCCCCATTTAACAGATGTAAACCCAGAGCACTTGAGATCCTATTTCCCAGAGCCCACTATTAGAATCCACGTTATGTCAGATATGTCCCAGTAATGAGCACCTAGTCATTTTCTTCCACTTCCCATGACCCCTGTCCAGAATCTCCATCTCTGCTCCCTGTATTCTAAACCCCCCTCATCTCATAGCACTAGGATTGTCTATTTGCTAGTCTGTTATTTTAACTCTTTCCGGAGATCAAATGTGCCATCCACAGAGATGCTTTAGTTGATAAAAGGGCTCACACTGGTGGGAAAGGGCTGATCGTTGCAGGAATGTTCTAATCAAAGAATTGTACCCATTTTCTGGTTGATGCTGATTCCTGAGAGAAGATTTCAAGCAACTACATGAAGAGATTTTCCAGGAAGTGGAGGCCCTGGACGAGCTCTCAAAGGACACTCAGGATGCCATATTCCGTAATATCCTGAACACGCTTGGGAACCGAAAGGCTTTGCTGGAACTTATGGACAAGGTGAGGGGTTCCTATAGCTACTGAGGGCTGATCAAAAGTGGTAAAAGGGGCAGGTTTAGGCGATACTGCTACCAATGCACATGGGGGAAAAGGAAATGGGACAATGCCAGGGGAAAGAGCAGGATGTCAGAGATCTAGGACACTGGCCCCAGGCACAACAGGGCTAGCGAGTACAGCTCCAAATATTGGGGCTGAGGGCCCTGCACAACAGGGCCAAATCCCCTGGGGCAAATAAGGCGCACTGACCCTTACAGCTTCATCAATGACTTACAGACTTAGAAGACACAGGCCAAATTACTTAACAATACTAGTTGTAAGAGTAGTAGTAGTAGTAGTAGTAGTAGTAGTATCATATTACCAATACTACCAGTCTCCTACAGCTGGATGGGGACCCCTTTGATCCTTTGGATGGCTTTGGTGGCGAAATCCTAAATGAGACACAAGAGGACACAAGAAATCTATGGATCCAGGGAAGATCCTCCATCATTTACCTCCTCGAAGCCATAATAGGTAAGAGTGATTTGGGAGAAATGTAGGAAAGTCAAAGGTTTGGCCTGCAGACCTCCTGAAAGCCATGGATTAGATGCCACCTCTCCAAAACCCTTCAAATACCATGATCTTTACCCTCACATATCCGCTCTCTCCAAAGTCTGGAGGGCTTAGGGAGATAAATTTGCTGTATTAACAGAGAACCAGCCTTAGGTTTAGAAAGTGATCTGCCCAAGTACATCCAACAGATCATTGTGGGTGGATGATTCCAGGCTCCAGCCTCAGAATCCCTTCCTCTGGACCATGGTATGTAGCATCCTGGAGACCATTCCAAGAATAGGAGGAGGACTTAGTACAGGGAAATTGACTTCCATGTCCAATGGTTTGTTCTCCTGCCTCAGAGTTCCCCTCTCAGGAGGTCTCCTAGTTCACAGTGGGGAGAGGAAAATCTGATTCTTCATCCCTCTCTTTCTCCAAACGTCCCTCTGTTCCCAGTGCTGAGTGATACCCAACACAATCTGCTGGCCCAGTCCATGAAGAAGAGGATCCTCCTCCAGCAGCAGGAGCTGGTGAGAAATCCCCAGGGGCCAACATCCAGGAAGGAGGGTGAGAAAATCAGAGTTAAGAATGGCTCTGATGAAAAAAAGAGATCATGATGGAGGTTTCTGCCAGGAAGGGAGATGGGATTTTGTGTGGCAACTGGGAAATCCCTGGCTGCAACTGCCTCTGGGGAACAGTCCCAGAGGGTATGAGTCTATCTCAGGAGGGTCTCCATTTCCATGGCAACCCCTGCAGGGGGGTCCCCCACAGTTCTAAAAGAGCTATATAGTGAACCCAGGTCTGGGAACCCAAGGGCTCTGAGTCATATCCCTGCTTTACTCTAAGCAGTTACCATTTGAGAATTGCTCTCCCTTTCTCCACATACGTACATGTAAATATATATGTGTGGGCAGACATCCATATATATATATACACACACATTGCACACATGTGCGTACATGAATACATATCCTACTCCAGATGCCACTATTCTACAAGGGAAACGTTAGTATAACTGTCTAGCAGCTGAAAAGCCAATGCTCAGCATTTTCCAATAATGTGTCCACACTCACACTGATCACAGGATATGACCTGGATATGACTCCTGGTCCACTTGACTCCAAAGCTTTTGTCCTTTTCAGTTACCCTGAATGACCCTCTTGGGATCAATTTTCTCTTCCCAACCTCAAATGCTAACCTGTAACGTGGGATGCTGTTTATTCTAGGTAAGGAGCATCCTGGAGCCCAACTTCAAGTACCCTTGGAACATCCCCTTCACCCTCAAACCTGAGCTCCTTGCCCCACTCCAGGGTGAAGGTCTGGCCATCACCTATGGCCTGCTGCAGGAGTGTGGCCTGAATATGGAGCTGAATAGTCCCAGGTCAACCTGGGATCTGGAAGTCAAGCAGCCCCTGTCTGCCCTGTATGCGACCCTTTCCATTCTGCAGCAGCTAGCAGGCAGTCAGAGAGGCCAGGCCCTACCAGTCTATACTGGAAGTGTCCCTGATGAGCTCAGAGGACTTAGGACCACAATTTCTGCCACTCTAGGTCAGACACAGCCAGGAGTCAGTAGACTTGAGGGAAAGTTCTGAAATCACAGAAAGATCTGTACCTTGATGAAGATTCATGCATTTGTCAAAACTCATCAAATAGTATCTAAAGATGTGAGCATTTCGCTGTATATAGCAATGCTACTCCAAAACAATGTAAACCAATATTAAACGCCAGTAACAATATGAATTGTTTGGGGTGAGGTGTACTGATATCAGCAACTTACTTTGAAATACATCATAAGGGACGCCTGGCTGGCTCAGTGGTTGAGCATCTGCCTTTAGCTCAGGGCGTGATCCTGGTGTCCTGGGATCAAGTCCCACATCAGGCTCCCCAGGGGGAGCCTGCTTCTCCCTCTGCCTATGTCTCTGCCTGTCTCTAATGAATAAATAAATAAAATCTTTTAAAAAATGCATCATAAAAAAATGCATCATAAAATAAGGGGACTAATGAATGGATAGAGAGACAGATATCAGATTTTAAAAACAAGAGGTTTTCTTCTTTTTTTCATTTAAATTTAATTAACATATAATGTAGTAGTGGTTTCAGAAGTAGAAGTTAGTGATTCATCAGCTGCATACAACAGCCAGTGCTCATTACATCCAATACCCTTCTTAATGTCCATCACTGTTACCCCATCCCCCACCCCCCACCCCTCCAGCAACCCTCAGTTTGTTTCCTATGATTAAGAGTGAGTCTCTTATGGTTTGTCTCACTCTCCGATTTCATCTTGTTTTATTTTTCCCTCTCTTCCTCTCTGATCCTGTTTTGTTTCTTAAATACCACATGAGTGAGATCGTATGATAATTGTCTCTCTGATTGACTTATTTTACTTAGCATAGTATCTTCTAGTCCCAACCATGTTGTTGCAAATGGCAAGATTTCATTTTTTTGATGGCTAAGTAGTAGTACATCATATATGTACCATATCTATATCCATTCCTCAGTCGCTGGACATCTGGGCTTTTTCTCTTTTTTTTTTTCAATTCTTGAAACATTTTGTATGTCTGGAATTGTTTCAAAAAAAATAAAAAACCTCTCTAAAAAGGCGGGGAGGGGGTGCTTGGGTGGCTCAGTTAGTTAAGCATTTGCCTTCAGCTCAGGTCATGATCTCAGGGTCTTAAGATCCAGTCCTGCATTGGGTTGCCTACTCAGTAAGAAGTCCGCTTCTCCCTCTGTCCCCCTCCCTAGCTTGTGCTCTCTCTCTCTCAAATACATTTTTAAGATCTTTAAAATAAAATTAGCTCCCTCAAAATTATAACTGTGTACTGATCATTATGTGCGACTTTTCCAAATTATGCTTTTTTGAGCTCTTTTAAAAGGAACGTTGAGGGGCACCTGGGTGGCTCAGTTGGCTAAGTGTCTGCCTTTGGCTCAGGTCATGATCCCAGGATCTTGGGATGGAGCCCCACATTGGGCTCCCTGCTCCGTGGGGAGTCTGCTTCTCCCTCTGCCTTGGCTCCTCCCCCCTACTTGTGCACACGCGTTCTCTTTCTCTCTCAAATAAATAAATAAAAGCTTAAGAAATAAAAGAAACATTGAGAGAACAAAATAAGATGTCTTAGAAATTAAAACTAATATAACAAAAGCCCAATAGAAGGATCAGAGGGTAACGTTGAGGAATTTTTCCCAAAAAGTAGAGTAAAAAGTCATAAGGTGAAAAATAAGAAAGAAAAAATAAGAAATTGAGAAGAGTAGCTTAGGAAGCCTAACAGCTGGTTAAAACAAGTTCTCAGGGATCCTGGATGGCTCAGCGGCTTAGTGCCTGCCTTCGGCCCAAGGCGTGGTCCTGGAGACCTGGGATCGAGTCCGCATCGGGGTCCCTGCATGGAGCCTACTTCTCTCTCTGCCTATGTCTCTGCCTCTTTCTGTGTCTCTCATGAATAAATAAAATCTTTAAAAAAAAAAAGTTCTCAAAATAAAAAGAGAACACACACACAAATGGAAAGGAAATCAACAACAAAATAATTCAATAAAATATTCCATAACCAGAATATGAGTTTCCAGATTTAAAGGGCCCATCACATACTTGACACAAATGGATGAAAATGGGCCCATACCAAAACACATTTGGGTGATGTTTCAGAACATGCAGGACAAAGTAAAAATCCAGGGAAAAGTACAAAGGTTATTTACAAAAGACCACAAATGAAAGAATAACTTTTAAGTGGGTACCTGGGTGGCTCAGTCTCGGGGGCCTGAGCTCAAGCCTGGCCTCCAGCTCTGCACTGGGCAGGGAGCCTACGTGAAATTCTCTCTCTCCCTCTGCCTCTCCCCTGCCTCTCTCGGTCTCTTAAAAAAAATAAATAATAATAACTTTAAATTAAAACCACACAACAAACTAGAAGCAATAGAACAAGGACTTCCTACATTTTGATGGAAAATTATCTCTAGAAGTCTACATCAATTTGAAGGTAGAATAAAGGGCATTTTCAGGCAGATTTTTTTTAAATTACTATGTTCCATTTTCCAGAAAGCTATGAGACAATGTGATACAGTAAAATGAGAGAGACCCAAGAGGAAGATATTGGCTACAGAGAAAAAAAGATTTAGTGTAGAACAGAGATAGGGGGATGCCCAGGATGACAGTACGGGGGCCAGAAGGCAAGTAGTCCCCATCTGAGCAAAGAGGAAGGCTTTGGGGGAAATTTCTCCAGAAGAGGAAATTGATAGAATACCTCAATTCTGAGGTATTTAATACAAGATTTAAGGAACTGGCAGTTTGGATTTGATTAGATACAAACACACTGAAGATAGAAGGAAAAATAAACAAAAAATGACAATGAGAAAAGTCCTACAAGAAAGGAAAATAATTATGGCTTATTAATAGCTGAGAAGTATTCACATAGTCATAACTGTGATGGGACCTGCATGTGGTGCAGAGCCAAGGGGACCCTAAATCCTCATCTTCCCTGGTATAAGTTCATGAAGAATGTCTAAAATTGAGCAAGCTTATTTTTTTAAATATTTTATTAATTTATTTGACAGAGAGAGTGTGCACACAAGCAGAGGGGAGCAGCAGAAGGAAAGGGAAAAGTAGGTTTCCTGCTGAGTAGGGAGCCAGACAAGGCTTGATCCCAGGACCCTGGGATCATGACCTGAGCCCAAGGCAGATGCTTAAAGGGACTGAGCTACACAGGGCACCTGAGCAAGCTTATTATTAAGAGATGTCAGACACAAAGGGCCACATGTTATATTATCCTGTCCATAGGAAATATGTAGAATAGGCAAATCCACAGAGACCAGGAAGTATACCAGTGGTTAGGGTGGGGAGTAATGAAAATGTTCTAAAACTGACCATGGTCATGGCTGCACAATTCTGTGAATACACTAAAAGCCGCTGATTTGTACACTTTCAAGGAGTAAACTGTATGGCAGGTGAATTATAATCTCAAGAATGCCCTTTAGGGCAGCCCGGGAGGGCTCAGCGGTTTAGGGTCCCCTTTGGCCCAGGCTTGACCTGGAGACCAGGATCAGCCCAGGCTTGATCCTGGAGACCCAGGATCGAGTCCCACACCAGGCTCCTTGCAAGGAGCCTGCTTCTCCCTCTGCCTGTGTCTCTGCCTCTCTCTCTGTATCTCTCATGAATAGATAAGAAAATCTAAAAAAAAAAAAAAAAAGAATGCCCTTTAAACAAGAAATAAGGGAGGTAACTACCAAAACAAGCAACAAAGCACATTTAAAGTGATCTTCTCTAGGGAGAAACAATGGGGGAGGAGGGGGCAGAAAGAGGGGTAGGATGGGATCTGAGATGTAAAAGAAAACTCAAGTTCTGTGAACACCGGCTTCGATTAAAGAACACAAAGCACTGATATTCCTGCAAGTGCACATGCCCTTATTGAAAGCTGGAGGATCACCCCAGGGGCTGGAGACAGAACCACGACTCCTGGGCAGTGGCAGGGCTGTAAACCCTGTAGTGCTGGACACAGGTTCTAGAGAGTTCCTGCGCAGGGCACAGCCCACAGTCCAGACCCATCACCCGGCCACCGCCCTCCTGGCAGCCGCCCAGGGCCTCAGGTAGGTGCAGGGGGTGGGGACCCCAAGTCCTGGAAGGGTGGCCGGCCTTGGGGGCCGCAGGGGCCCCCAGCAGGAGGGCAGGCCGCGGCAGGCCAGCAGCTCCTGGCCTGTCCTTCTTGGGCACCCCCCCCCTCCTGGAGAGCGTCCCACTTGGGAAAGTGCTGCTCGGAGCTGAGCTGGTGCTGCCCCTGAGTGGTCCCCAGCGGGGGGGGGGGGGGACATCTTCCATCTTCCTCCTGCTTCCCCAGGCAGGCCAAGGTCACCTACCTGAGCCCCTTCCTCCATAGAAATAGCAAATATTGTCATTTGAGGCTGTGTTGGCCCATTAGACGAATATATTAACAGAAGACATCCTCGTAGACCTAAAAGTTTCTTTCTTTCTTCTGATTTTAAAGTAAACTAAAACATTGTCGTGGGCCCTAGTAGTAGTGTGAGCCCTGGGCACTGCGCCTAGTGGAGAAGCTCGCCCCTCACCCACCTGCTTTCCCCCGGGTCACACTCCCCTGGGCTGTGGTCCTCCGCTCCTGGAGTCTCCCCTTTCCAGTGGGCTGTGGGTGCTCATCTTAAAAGCCACCTGCCCGCTTGCAGTGTCACTACCCTGATCACAGGGCCCACCTCAGGAGATGCTCACAGACCTCCTGCCATCAAAGACAGATCAAAATGCCACTGGGGGAGGGGAACAGAGGCTCCCCCTAGATGCCTCTACCCGAAGGAGGGAGAAGAGAGAGGAATCCCTGATCTTCTCATGCCCCTCCCATCTCCTCCTCCTCCTCCCCCCCCCACCCCTGACCCCCCACTATCCCAGAAAAGCAAGGTAACAGCTTATCAACAACCTCCCCTGGGGCATTACCTTGTCATCCTTCCCTCCCCTTTTTAAGATGGAGCAACTGAGGCTCCAAGAGTCAAGTGGCTTGCTGAGGGTCACCCCCCCTACCCCATCCCCCAGTAAGTGGTGGAGGCCAACGTGGACCTCAGGGCTGATGCCTTAACCATGCTCAAACTTGCCTCCCTCACCACCTGGCTCCAGCCTGGACCTCTCTTCCCACAGAGCTGAACCAGAGCCAGTCCATCCAGATGGAGGAGATGGTGGCAGGAGCCGTGACAGGGGCCATGAGTGTGAGCATCGGGCTGCCGGTGCAGGTGACAGGGAGCAGTGGGTGACCCACAGCTCCACACTGACTGTACACACCCTCAGGGTTTCCCCTCACACCTGGGAAACTGGTGGAGAAGAGGTGAGAGTCAGGTAGGCCGTGCAGACCGGGGGGCCCTCCTGGCTGAGCTCTGTGGGCGCAGGGCCTCCAGGCAGGAGTAGGGATGAGGGGGCAGCCGAGAAAAGCCCAAAGCTCAGGCCAGCTTGAGGCCTCCAGTGAAGCCCCTCTGACGAGTGGGCCGGGATGGGAGCCCACCATTCGCAGTGAGCCCAGGGGACCAGGGACCAGGGAGTGGGTGGTAAGAAGGGCTTAGTTTAAGTCAGAGATTTCAACCCAGGTGGAAATGAAACCGAAACATGGTAGCTGCTGAGTGGAGGTGACAGGGAGTGTGGAAGACTATGGCAAGTCGCGACACAAGCCTGCCCTGAGCTGAGCAGCAGCTGCCACGAC